GCTTTCTCCAAGCACCCTGCACTGGATGTGCTGCTGCAGGTGAATCTTCACTACTGGTGGTCATTAGGCAGTTGCCCTCATTTCTCTGTGAGGGCTTTACCCTATCCTTTGGTAGTCTGTTATAAAACAAAGAAGTTGGGATGTCGCTGCTCTTTTAAAGCTTATATTTTGCTTTGTGTCCTGGAATATAAAAGTGTGTTATGCCAGTCGAGGTGATAATGTTTTTTAAAATAGCTTTTTCAGAGTGTTCGATCTGTGTGCTCCTGTGTCAGGGATATATCTATCTATTTATATTATTTATTTTGATTGCCCAGATAGCAGGGAATAATCAGAAAAAAGAGCATGAATGTTGTTCTGTATGATGACATCTGAGAGGTTGGTTTTTTGGATTTTTTTTTTTCTCTCCAGAGTGTCTTTACTGAGCAAGAGTTGAGTATTGTGGTGTGAAATAACACAGCAGGAATTGGTATTTTTATTAAATTTGCAAATACTGAATTTACAGATGAGGCACGCAGCTCTAATACTGAATTTTTTTCTTCCCGTGGAAATATTTTTACTTTTGGCTTCCTTCCTTCTTTGAAGATTGAGTTTTTAGTGTAGCAAATGCTTCAGTAAGCTTCCCAATTCATGATCAAATGGTGGGCTCCTTCCCCCACATCTTGCTGGTTTTTTGCCTTTGAAAAAAATTTGTTTTTTATATATCTTCCAAGCTGTCTCCCCAAGCCCCTTTAATGACTTGTTTATAAATGACTGCTGTTTTTATAAAATTGAAAATTAACAGCGCTGACAAATGTGCAGCTTCAAATTTAATTTTGATTGTCACTGATCTCTACCTTCAAAGCTGTCAGTGCTTAATATTGTTTCCTAAAGTATTAGATAGTTTGATTGGCAACTATCAATTTCTTTGATTATGCAGTCAAGCATTGTCCACTACTCTTTTCTGGTTCTCTGTCAAGAACCATAATTAATGAGAATTATAAACCAAAGCAAGCCATACACAATCAGAAATCAAAACCTGAGGACCAGAAGAGTCCCATAATAAGTAAGGAAGCCATGCACCATAATTACACATCTGCCTAACCTCTTTACCCCAACTGTTCATTTTGACAGAGCTGAGTAGCTGCCTCTGTTAGGAGGTCTGACCTTTCTCCTCTTCCCCCACCCTGTACTGTCCCCTTCTACCTTTACTTTGTCCCCTCTCCATTCCAGCATGGTAGTCTGAAGCCTATTTCTGTAACTTATTGAGTATTACTGTTATTGCTATGAAAAGTAATTGTCCCATGTTATATGCTGTATATATCTCACATGTGCAATGTTTGTTTTTACTTTGAAATCCATGGTCAATGTCTTCTTTCATGGCAGAAAAGAGGGGATCTGATGATAAAAAAAGTAGTGTGAAGTCCAATAGTCGAGAAAAACAGAGTGAAGACACAAATACAGACTCGAAGGAGAGTGAGACTAAGAATGAGGTCAATGGGACCAATGAAGACATTAAATCTGAAGGTGACACTCAGTCCAATTAAAACTGATCTGATATGACCTCAGATCAGACAGAGGTAAGTGCATTATTTCAAACTTTGATTAGGGCTTTTTGTTACTGTTTAACAGTGCAGCGTAAGTATGCACAGATGAAGATGGAACTAAGTCAAGTAAGAAGACAAACTAAAGCACCTTCTGAAGGAAATGACAGTGTAGTCCTGCAAAACGTTTTGAGGTACATTGTTTTGTCTCAGCTATTTTGTAGCAGACTCGTGCCCCCATTAGTGTGCCTCTTTGGGACATATTTGTAATATTGTCACCATAGAAAAATTAATTATCCTTTTTTTATTTTTTTAGGGATTTTGTTATCGTTTTTTTTTAAAAAAAAGTTGAACTGGTTTTGTATTTAAGTCCATATTGTGTTGGTACATCAGCAGAAACTTTTGCTTAAATACTTAATATTTGAGGCACATGTTGGACTACTTTGTTTTCATATAAACTGCTAGTATTTCTTTGTCAAGGATGTTTCTAGTTTTTTTGCTTTATTGCCTTGCATTCTAATGCAGTTTGTTCTGTAACTCGAGAGCCAGTAGCATTGGATTGATGGAAGTGTAGGGTTTATGAATTATTGCAGCTGACTACCATACCTCACACAGCGTTGGTGTTGTGAGCGGCCCATGAAAAGCCAAATTAAAAATCAAGGATTCAGTCAAACTAAGCAGGTACTCATGCCAGGTACTCCTTTCTCTACCCACATCCATGTTTGAATGCTGTTGCCTGTAATCTTTAAGCTTACTGTTGTGTTTTTGATTTTGAAGCTAGTGAAAAGGACTTTTTGTGTATTGTGTGAATACTGTAAATCTGATGTTAACAGAATGGAATTTTCTTTCAACTGTGTGTAGGGATGCAGTGCTGCCCAGAATTAGATATCTTTAAAGAGTTTAAAATGCAATAAACACTACATAATATTCGCCTTGTTACTTTCAATGCAATTCAAGTCTTTAAGAGGTATGTGCTTAATATTTCCTACTGTGTAGGAGACTTTGCAGTCAGCCATAGCACAGAGCAGTGGAATGGCTGGTAACAGGCTTGTAAGGCAGATGTAAATGCAGAGACAGATGCCACCAAATGATGGCAGTGTTGATGGCAGGAGTGTATGCTGGAAACTGTGGGAAATTAAGCAGCTAAGCAATAGGCAATTATGTATTGAAAGGACAACTTGAAATTTTTTCCCCACTCTTGACATAGTTTTCTTACAGAAGGTTTTTAATTGTATTCCTGAAATAAGGAACTAACAGTGGAGGTGACAGCTGATAAATGAGCTTCTTGCAATATAATTTGTTACTGTAGTTGCATTATGTATGCTAGGAACTCTTAAACATTTAATGTTGATATTAAACCATTAATGCTACATCATTGCTTCTAATGCCAGTCATGTCCAATGGTGATGTTTTTGTAGAGTTAAGATGACAGCTAACAACTGGGTGAGTGTATAGGAATGGTAAACAAAGTGCTCCTAATGCTGTCTAATCGTCTGCTCTCCCAAAATTTTGCATTATAGGACTACTGTGTGAAGAGTCTGCGAAGACAGCGGAAGAGAGCTTAAACTGAAGATCTGCTTTAAATGAGGTGAAAGAAAGCTGTAGTGGCATAGAAAAATATAAAGTTGAGTTAGATTTTTTTTTATAAAATTTAATTCAGGACTGGTGTTTCCTCCCAGAGTTCAAAAAGATGTGTTGATAATAGCACATATGCTACTGAGAATATAAGTCCTGTATCTTTCTTTTTCTTTAAGACTTTTTAAGATAAGAAACCAACATAACCTGAACACATGGCTTGCTCAGTGTTTAATTGCAAGTTTTCATTCTTGGACTTTAAAACACAAGAATAAATGTTTAGTATTTGTGTGAATTGAACTAAAATGAATCCCATTTTTACAACTAAGCAATTCCTAGCTTCTTGATATATGAGAAATGGAAATAAAGTATCTTTGAATTTCTGTTACAAATTTGATTGTCTCTGTCATTGAACATTTAATATTAAATAAGCTTCTTTCCTAATAAATTTCTCTTGTCTTCAAGCTTAGTTCATTAATTTGGATGCTTAGTTATTCTGTGCTGTTTGTGCGTTTGGGGTTTTTTGTGCCAGCAGGATTTAATTTCAGGCTTACTTTTGCAGCACTTGGATGCTGTTGGGTTCAGCGTCTCCCCAAAAAGCACCTTTTGCTGCAGTAGGTTAAGAAATTACAGAAATCTTGCAATAAAAATGGCTGTATTAATTCTTTATAAAACAGTTCAGCTTTGACAGCGTGTTTAGAGCGATGCCAGTGGTGAGACTGGTGTTCAGACTGCTTCATATTTACATTGCAGTATTGGTTTGGGGTATTGATTAATGACCTTGTGCAGTTGGTCAGAACAGACACCCAGGCAGGGAGATGTGCCTCATGCTGCTCTGGGAAGCTGTAGTGCAAGCAGGAGTGGTTCTTGTTGGAGAAGAACTGCAGTGTGCACTAGTCAGTGCTGTGGCTGTAAGGCAGTGAATTTACATTATTTAAAAAGAGCATTATCTTTTCCATTGGTTACATATACAGTCAAGGCCTGAATACCAAAGTCAGACATGGACAGAACACCATTGTAACTTGTGCTGATTTATTGGGCCTGTGTGTGGGAGTGCACTTGGCAGGAATCTGCATCCTGGTCCCTCTGGTCAGTAGTGCTAGGTTTTGATACCACATGCAGACAGCCATGGTCCTTTTTTGACTTTATTTCTTCTAAACCAGACACCAGGGCACAGGGGATGGAGACTGGGTGTTGTGGTGGTTTTGGGAAAAAATAAAGTGGGAGCAAGTGAAATTATAACTATACTGGGTGTGGTGGTTTTGGGAAAAAATAAAGTGGGAGCAAGTGAAATTATAACTAAATTGTAATTGGAGACATTAGATGAACATCTCTGAAACTTGTGAGACAGGACTCAGCCTCTTCTTGGATGTGTTACTTCTTTCAGCAGTGAAAATGTTTGTCTTGTACTTTCCACTGCACTTACTTGTTACAGGATTTGCATTTCCCCTTACTTTGCAAAATTAAAAATGATAAAATGAGGAATTTTGTAGTAGATTAGCTTGGGATTCAGATTCTCCACATGTCTCATAGGGGAGTCTTTAATGCTTTGAAGATGAAGGAAAATTCTGTTTTGCAGAGCATAGGAAGCACAGTGCCTTTCTGCCTCCAGATTTGAGTGTACAAACATCTGCACAGATTCATCTTTATGAGAAGTATCTTCAGAGCTTAAGCCCAGGATAAATACATTCCAGATTTTCTAGGAATTCTAGGCAAAAGTAGCTGATTTCAGTAAGCTTTCTCCATACTGGTTTTGACAGCCTGACAATCTTCATTAAAGTGTTAAAAGTGTACTGGCCTATGATTTTTCAAAGTTTCCTTTAAATTTTAAGTGTCCTGTCCACTCTAGAGTGATTCTCTTCACATCCTTCTACCCCCTACCCTGAAAAAGGAAGAGATCAAAGGACTTGAAATGACTGATACTTTATTATAAGTGAAGAGTAGCAGTGTCAGTTCAGCACAAGTTTGTAGTGCAAACAAAAGGCGTCCTTGGAAGAACAGTAAGTTTTGTAAACTTTATCTCAGTTGTTATTCCAACAGTTCATTGTTCAAAGAAAAAGCCCAACAAAAACCATTTAACATAACTAGTGTGCCTTAGAGTTTATCAAACTGCATAAAACATACAAAAATACTTCTCTGAATGCATAGATATACTGTTAGTACAGTCAAATTGTAAGAAGCATTTAAATCTTAACACATTTACTGTTATTCTTGGTGGAAACTAGAGAAATAAAGCTTTTTAAACCAGCTGCCCTCTAGCAGAATGCTCAGTAATTAGTGGAGACAGTCCTTACACTGACTTCCTAAATAAAGGAACTGGAAACAAATTAGATACTCTTACTAATTTTTAAACATTTAACCACTACTGTTTTTCACACAGTTATTGCACATAATCTGAGCTAGCCCCCAAGCTATGCTGGAGGGGTAAATACACAATTGTTAAAATAGAACTTTCTTCCCTGTCTTCTAAGTTTTCGTTTATACTGTGTCACAGTCTTGAGCTTCCCAGGAGTTGAATCTGGCATTAAAATAGCTCAGCTTCTGGCTGGAGAAAAACCAGGATTGAGAATGGGAAGTTAGTAAGATTGAGGTGATGGGTGTGGAACATGGAGGAAAGGATGATAATTATTTTGACTGAAGTAAGCAAGAATTTTAAGCCTAAGTAACTTGGTGAAATCCTGAGCCCAGAGTCAAGTATCTCCTCTGCTGGCAGAAGGGGTTTCTGTTTCCTCTTGGTGTGCAGCAGCCATGCTGCTTCTACTAGAACATGGTGCTGTACTATTTATAGTTTGTCAACATAGCAGTGCAGATCAAACAACAAAGTCCAGCATCCATCAGCTGTGCAGAAACTCTGCCTAGTGCAGCTTCATAAAGCAGAGATGGAAGGGAAATCAATAGTTTGGGAGTGGGGGGGAGGGGGGAACAGAGGGGAGAAAAAGCAAGTCCCTCACCTGTCCACCTGCTCAGGACCCAATGAAGGGTTTTGGTGCAAAGGTCAGCATCGTAGTTTTTGGCAAAAAAGAAAACAGCCTCCAGAAGTATAACTTTACAGGCTGTCAGGTTCATCAAGAAAAGCTTCAGGCTGTTTATATTCCAGCAATGCTGTGACTTAATTTTTTCATTACTGACTTGCTTAAATAGTTTGTAGCTTTACCAGAGTTGTGTTTTTTTCACTCCCCATGAAGAAGGGGGGGAAGTTGAAAGCAACCTGGAGGTTTTTTGCAATTCATCCCTGTCAGTACTCACCTGGCTGAAAAAAGGCTGTGTAACAGTGACGTAGACTGCAGGATGTAAAGTTACAAATCAGTCACTTGCTCATGGTGCTTTTCCCATCTAGTGGCCCATTAAAGCATTCTGTGTCCCTTCCAGCTGTGCTCTCTCATGAGGACACTGCTGTGCTTCTCATGCAGCAGAAACAACCATCCCCTTGGAACTGGTGTAAAGGAAGGACCACAGAGAGCTTTCCCATCTTGACAATACTGACACCTGGTGTGAGTAATTCACAGGCTCACATCCATCAGAAAGTAAATAAAACCATGGACACAGATTGGGAGTCCCTCCCCATCTGAAACAAGGGCTTTCTCTTGAAAGGGCACTTCCAACTCAAAAGGAAAATTTAGGAGAGGCTTTTGTATTTTTTGGTGGAGGTACAATATTCTCACAGGGAAAATGAACATTTAAATACAGACATGCTTATTCCAGTTATTTTCAGCCCAGTAAAAGGGTTTCTCCTGCCACTTCTGAGCATTAAGTATTTCTAGACAACCCATCTTGGTCAATGTTTGTGAGGGGCAAGAAATTAAGGACTTGCACATTCACATTTTTAGAGAGCAGCTATCCATTGTGTGTCTCTTTAATTTAATGAGGAAGTACACACAGAGACACACAATTTCCTGAATCTTTCCATGAGTCTTACTTGGTCAGACTGGGTGTACTTAACAAAATTTTTGTATCAATAATTGCATCTTTTGTGCCCCCCACTGCCAGATACAACCAATAAACTTCCTTGAAATACTCTAGAAACCTGTGGTTTTTACTGGACAAATGAGGTATCCCTTACCTGAATACAGTATCAAGTAAAAAAATAAAAGCAAACAGGATATTAAATATAAAATATTAGTTAAAATAGTAACCCTAATAATAACTTAAGGTTTTACACACACTTAAGTGACAGCTGTCACTGCCAGGTGTTGACCCTGCAGCTGCAGCTCCCAGGGTCAGTAGGTCAGCTTGGATGCTCTGCTGTTGTAGCACGGCCGCTCCATCAGTGCGGCCGCGGCGCTCCGGAAGGGAGAGCTCTCACTTCTCATAAGGACCAGCTCCAGCTCTTGGAAGTCCTGGAGTCTGGCAACATCCTTGTCCTTGTAAGAAACAGACAGAACATTATTGACCCTTTGAGTCAGGGATGGAAAAAAAGCCTCCTGTCTTCCACTGTTCTTCCTATTCTAATCCACTTTTGGTGGATTAGAACGCTAACTTTAATGGAAGTAGCGGGTCTTTTTATAATGTGACTTGCTAAGGTGATACTTGATTGGTTTCAAAACAGAAACATCTCACACTGTTGGTGCACTATGAATAGCACACTGTGGAAAAACATAACTGTAAACAATGGTTACAGAAAGATAATAATTGTTTTAATTATTTCTTCTAAGATTCCCAGGCTCAGCCTGGGAGAAATTATCTCTGTTCTTTCTTTGACTGAACTTAGAATCTTCACACATTATTACTCCTGTATATAGCTGGTGGTTATTATTTGTAAAATAACTACAGGAAATAAAAACTAGAATTCCAGGGACATCATTCCCAATAATAGCAATATAGAATTAAAAAAATAAATCCTACCAGCATATGCTCATTAAAAGTTGTAGCAGGTTTGCTTGGTTGGTTTTTCTCCTCAAACTTTTTCTTCTCCTTTAATCTCATTACGATTTGGCTGTATTTGTGCATGTCACTTAACCAGGACTTGTGACCACTTTCATCTACAGACCTCCAGAATATACTTTTTAGGAACAGAAGAGCAGTTTCATTTGTTAACAGCACATCTAAGTTGTTCATATGCCCATTTGTGGAGGTTTTTCCCCTTACTGTTCCTTCTTTTTAGGCAAGCAGACAGTGAATTAATACTTGGCAATTACGTTAAAAGCACCCTAAATGCACTGTTACTGATACATTTTTTAAAAGTCAAGCTGTAATAGTTCCATATGCTTTAGGAGCTAAAATACTCTGCCTATTTTGACAAGACTATTTTTAAACAAGTTATGATGAAGTTTTAAGAAAGGTCCACCGTCCCTTTGAATCTGTCAGTTTTTATTTAACAAAACTGACATTTTGCCAATCTTTTTACAAAAATACATTCTCTGATGTCTGCAAAGTGAAAAGTCAAGTTAATCTGTCGTTTCTATTCTTACGTTTCTTAGAAGTGTATTGGGTAGTTTTCTGATCTTCTCTACTTGCTCTGGATTTACACCCAGCTCACAGCAGCTCACTCTGAGCAGATCTTGATAGGTCAGTTCTTGTCTGTCCAGTTCAATCTCAATGAAGTCATTGTCTCTCACGTTCTGGACTCTGACCTTGAGTACAAGTTCTGACAGAGAAACAATTAAAAGGTTAACAACAGAAAAGACAACAAACTCAAACCTAACATTTACAGTATTTACCATTATCTTCTGAATTCAGGTTTTTTAATACAATCCCCATGATCTGGGAAATACTAAGCAGTTAACACAGAAGCTTCCAGCAAAAACACGCAGAAGAACCATGGTAACACTGTTGAAACTGATCCATAGAGTCACAAAGCTGAGTTATTACCAAACTACCAGAGCTGCATTTGATGCAAATGTAGTGCAAAATTTAAATGTTCGTGTTACCTGGACTGATCTTTCCATTGTTTTGCAAAGTATTACCATGGTTAAAATAAAGAATAACAGACATTTTATGTAACTGAGCAGAAGAAAGTTCAGGGCACTTTTGGCCACAGAATTCAACATCTCTGCCTCTATTCTACTAGAGTCTGAAGTGAAATGATTATTTCACTTCTTTTTTTCACCCAGTAACTGTAACAGAAGTAGGAGACACAGCACCTCTTTACCTTGCACGTTATAGGGGAATGTTCCAGTGAAGAAGAAGGGCTGGAAGGCGGGTGCAGGGCTGCTGGGGGAGGCGTGAGGCTGCAGAGGCAAGGCCTGGCCAGGCACTCCTGGGGAGCAGAGTCCCAGGCTGGGGGTTGTCCCCGGGGGTGCGCCGGAGCCAGGGGGCATCCCTGGGCTGGCACACGCTGTGGCTGCAGTGATGTTGGGCACAGGGGCTGGCCTGGCTGCTGCATCCGCTGCTGGCAAAGTCTCGCCGCTGCTGCATGACGTGGGTGTGCAGATGCTTTCAGCCTGAGTTGCTGGTGGACAAGGGCTAGTTTCACTCTGGGAAGCAGAAGAGATGGAAGCACTTTCATTCTGGGATTCTGCCAAGCTGCCTTGAATGCTTTCTTCGGTGTAAATGTTAGGGAATGGGTTGGCCAAGTGGTTCGCAACAATGGATAAATTTAAATCCTTCACTCCTTGACATTCAGTTTGTTCCTCTACTGATGAAGTTCAAAAAGGAGGGGTAGGGGGATGGAGACAGAAAAAAATCCATCATGTTACTGGATAGATCTTTCTCATTTTGAATATAGTTAGTTTTCCTATTGTGTCTTGAAACTGCATCACATTCCAAGGTCATCAAAGAATGACACTAATGTTCCAGAAGCATGTAACACTTGGAGGCCAGTAGCTGTAAAGTGAAAGAAAAACCTATGTCTTCAGTATATTCTGGTTTTTGATAACAAAGCGTGGAGGGGAGATAACCTTTGAAAGACACATAATTTCTAGTAGTGTTGTTCCAGTGCTTTCAAATTAACTGGATGACCAGTAGTCCTTTATTGAATCTAATTTTAAAATGCTCTTAATAGCACTGCTGTAAATAGTTTATTATGACCTAGGCCAGCAAATGTAACCCATTATTTCTTTGAGGAAGTGTCTACTTGCTGTAATACCCAAACAAACTCAACTCTTGCATAAAAGCACTGCAGTAAGTGACATTCCTGCCTGAGGATTACAGAACATAAATACTGATGTCAAAGCAGTTCAGAAAGATCTGCTCAATGATACCACACACCCAGAATAAAAAATAGGAGAGAAAGTAAAGTGATATGTGTTTATTCCCCAGGAAACACAGGAAGCTTAACAGACAGAAAAATAAGACGACTATGAACAGAGTTCATCTACACGTGCTTGACAGTTTAGATGTTAAAAACAGGTGAGTAGTTTGCCACAAACTGAGCCCACACCTCACCCAAAAGAAAGCAAAAGCCTTGTGTAAGAACATGCCATTCCTTCAGGCTTGACTGTTGGAGCCTGAGTCACGATTTAGCTGCAGCCTTGTGAAGGAGAACCCTGCCCTGTTGATGTAAGAGCAGATCACTGCAGAGAGCAATTTAAGCTCAATTGCAGATGACAGCACATTTCCAAAGGTAAAGCACCTTAGAATTTTAATCTCGAGCACAGTACCTGGATGCTATTCAGAAGTGTCACACACATCTAAGTGGGTTTGCTGTGCAGATGAAAAGTGTAAGATGGCATAATTACAGGGCAAAAATTAACCATGCCAGCAAGTCACACTATATATAACAAGGTGCTCAGAAGGCATAACTTCCTGAGTGATAAAACAGTTTTGAGGGGATTTGTAGTATTGATCAGACCACAGCAAATTGTGCAATTATGAAAGCCCCCATTTGCAGCTCGACAGCAAACAGGAGTGCAGCAACACACTTCCCAAAGCATCCAGCTTTTCCATTTCTTGGTGACACAGCTCAGGACACAAGGCCTTCCTACATGAAATCTCCACATCTATTTGCCCAAATATGAATTCCAGTTATAAATCACAGATATCTGAGATACAATGGACCTAGCCATGTTAATTACTGCTTCAGATAAAAGCACTAAAAACGTTTCAGTGTTTAGACCAAGAATTCTAGATGACTTTTAAAATGGGAACGGTACCTCCCAGGATCTTGCGGATATCTGGTTTCGACGTTAGCTGTGCCGCCAGCTCTCCCTGGGCAGTGAGGATCTGCTTGTCTGCACCAGCCTCCAGCAGGCAGGACACCACCTGAGCATGGTTCCGCTTACAGGCCCAGTGCAGGCAGGTCCTGCAGGAAGCAAGCAGAAGGGCTGGGATTCACCGGCCTGGCTCTTCTTCACCAACCCCATCCTACCTCATCCGCATAAAGTGATAACTGGGAATAAAGTTTCCTTCACTGTGGCACTTCCTAAAGTTCTGAATCTGTAAGTTATGCAGGGCACGCTCTTCCTTTGCCTTGCAGAGTGACTCCCACTGCTATCCCATACAAGCGACTGGGCAGGGACCTTGAGCAAATATGCAGTGACAGGTGACAGGAGGGCGACCTGCTTTTACCGTGATCCTCTTTAGCAGTAAATCTCCGAGCCTCCCGAGATTAGCTTTTCTGTATTTGCAAATGGGAAAACTAAGAAACACAAGAGCTGCGTTCCCAGAGCAGCTCCCTCACCCCGCGCCTGATGATGGGCTGGGGTGAGCCCCGAGCCCAAGAGCCCCGAGCACCTGTGAAGGGCAGCGGGGGAAGAGCTGGGCCCCGCAGCGACCCGGGCCCGCCCCTCGTCCCTCGTCCCCCGCAGCGCCGGGACCCCGCGCGACGCCGCCGCCCCTCACCAGCCATTGATCTCGTTGCGGGAGTCGATGTCCGCCCCCGCGCCCAGCAGCCGCCGCACCTCCGCCACGTCCCCCAGGGCCGCCGCCTCTCGCAGCCGCTCTTCCAGCTCCCGCGCCTCCGCTGCTCCGCTCATGGCCGGGCCCGGCTGCGGCCCCTCCTCCCCGCGCGGGAGCCCGTCGGGAGGGGCCGGGCGGCTCAAGGCGGCGGAGCCGGGCCCTGCCCGCCCCGGGGCCCCGTTCCGGCCCTCACGGGCGCCGCCATCTTGAGAGCGGGGCGGGCGGCGCTGCCCCGGGCCCGGCGCAGCCTTGTTCTGGAGTTCTGGGTGCGGTTCTGGGCTCCTCAGCACGGGAAAAAAGGAGCTACTGGAGAGGGTCCGGCGAAGGGCACAAAGATGATGAGGGTCTGGAGCATCTCTCTGATGCACAGACATTGCGAGAGCTGGACCTGTTTGGTCTGGAGAAGACTGAGAGGGGATCGCATCAATGCATTTAAATATATCCAGGGAGTGTCAGAGGATGCTGTCAGACTCTTTTCATTAGTGTCCAGTGACAGGACGAGGGGCAATGACTATAAACTAAAACACAAAATGTTCCACCTCAACACTAGGAAGAACTCCTTTACATTAAGGGTGACAGAGCTCTGGAACAGCTGCCCGGGAGGCTGTGTAGTCTCCTTCTCTGGAGACATTCAAACCCACCTGGACACATTCCTGTGTCACCTCCTCCAGATGAACCTGCCCTAGCGGGGGATGGATGGATGATCTCCAGAGATCCTTTCTGACCCCAATGATTCTGGGATTCTCAGGCCTGGACAGGGTGAAAATCCAGGACTGGAGTGTTTCCTCTGGTGGGTTCATCCCACCCTCACCTGACATCCAGAGCCCTTTGTGGGGGCTTGAGGGGAGAGAGCTCCTGGGAAGAAGGGAAAAGCTGCAGGTAAAAACTGCCTGCTGGCAAAAGCACCTTATAGAATTATGTACGTTGAAAAAGGTCTTTTGAGTCCAACCCATCATCTATCACAGTGGCCTTGCCCTTTTTGGGGTGTTTTTTAACCAGCAGCCTGGCTCCTGCCTTTGAGCTGTGAGGCTGCCATGGGCTGGAAAAGGACCACAAGGATGGGTTCAAATCCACAGCTTTCCCCCTACACTTCCAGCTCTGGCACCCCCAGTTCCCAGCCCTTCCCTCTCCAGTGTGTTGCTCACACTCTTAATTAAATCACTGTGGCATGTGTTGAGGAGCTCATTTAACTCCAGGCTTTCTGTTTTGGCGTCAGTGTCTGCCACCAAGGAGCAATTTTCACTAAGAATTTTTTTTTCATTGCCTCTCTTTTATTGCTTACTATTCTTATTAGTGACGTTATTTTAACCTACCATTTAATTTAGGGCTTGGGTTGCTGTTGCTTTACCCTGCTGTTCCTTCTCTGGTGGTTATGGCCATTAGATGAAGACGATGCCTGCAGCATTACCATCCAAACAGTTCCTGAATATCTCTCCATATAAATGATGATTCAAAGCACAAATACTCATCTTCCTTTTAATCAGTCCGAGGAGGCAGAGGCCCACAGGACAAATGTTTCTCTAAGAGAGGTGCAGCCCCACAAACTACCCTCATGAAAGCAGGAGGGAGAAGCAAGCAGCGACATTTTTAACTACTGTGGCAAAGGTCACGCGGTGACTCAGTGGCAAGTGTTTCACACCAGATCACATGCTTTTGATCCCATGCAAGAGATTGAACAAAAATTTTGCCCAGCAGCTACCAAAAAAACTCAACAAACTGTACGGAAAACAGCTGGATTTGGAGAATGGTTTGCAAACAAGATTTACCTGATGACAACTGCAAATTCAAACCTTAGAGACCTGGAAGACCAGCCCTCAACTGGACACTGCTGTGACCCGAATATTTGCATTTTAATTCATTTGCTTTTTCAGTAAAGGCATCTTAAATGACCACTCTTTAACCCACGATCTCTTTTGTCTTTTTTCAGTGTCTGTGCCATAAAGCCATAATACAAAGACAAGGAACACACAAGTGGAGACCCATTCTAGGAAGCAGGGTGCCCTCTTGTGCACTGTGAAAGCTTTAAATCCCAATTTTTTACATCTGTAAAAATCCAGTAGGATTAGTGGCAAAAGAGCTTTTTCCAAAATAATACAAGACAACTCTCAGATGGATGGGGAAAAGCTACTCAAGAGGTGAGTGCAGGGACAGGCCTAAAACCAGAAACACCATTCCTGTTGTGTTCTCCAGTGCCACTGCCACTAGATGTCACAGTGGAACAACAAGAAGAGCCTGGAGTGTGGCTTGGTGCTTCATGCTGTAATTGTGAAATGCCTTTAAATTTGTCTTGGCACATCCATAGTGTCTCCATACAGCTTTGATCCTGTAGATTTCAAAGCTCCGTGTGGTGCAAAGGGACATTATGCAACATTTCCACACAAGTACAGGGATACCCAGTGCAGGGAGTGCTTTCTGGGGGGTTATGGGCTTTTTTCTTTTTCTTTTCTTTTTTTTCCCCCTCTACTTGAGCTCCTCTCCCAAAGCCACACAGGGCTTTTAAGGACTCCAAGCCGGAGGGTGATGCACTGAGATGCTCTCTCTCACACTCTCTTGGGGTGAGTACCCTACTCTGTTGCACCTGTGCCAAGCCTTGTTAAATGGAGCTTGGGTTCACCATTGCTTAGTTACACAATGTACTTCTCCCTGGAGTCATGAGATCTCCTCCTGCAAGGAAGGCTGTGTGCAAGAGGATTAGCAGCGAGTTCACTTGACCCAAGCCTCCCCACGAACCTCCTGCTCATGCCCTACACACGGAGCCTCAGACCCCCTTGTACTCTTGTGTTCCCTCCCCGTTTATTGGCACTGGTGTCACACTTACCAGCTCCCAGCAGAGCCAGTAACTTGTCCTTTCCCTGCTCCCTTCCCATGTGCTAGCTGGGTTTGTGCATGCACCTATGCAGAGCACCCATGCACGCACAGCTCCCTGCCAAGAGCAGCAGGCCCTGCAGGATCTGCAGGCGTGGGGCAGGTGCCAGCTGAGTGCTGGCTGTCACCTTTGGAAGCTGCTGGGAATTGCACATGGTGCTCATGGCTGGAGCAGCTGCTTTGCCTCCCAAACATTGAATTACCTTGGCCTTCAGTGGGAGCACGCTGAGCTCTGTGTCTGGGGCCCAGATCGGTGGTGTTTTGTTTTGTTGGTGATTTACAGGTGCTCAGTGCTCCCTGTTCACCAGCCTTGGGCACAGCCCTGAGCCCCTGGCTTTACCTGGCAGAGCCAGCACCTCGCTGTCACAGCCTTGCAGTAACCACAGGGGAGGCTTGGGCCAGTCTTTGTTCCCACAGCAAGTTTTCCAGATTTTGTTGGTCATTTGTTAATGTATGCCTTTATGCAAGCTTCTGACTGTGCCTGATCCTCTGGATTAGTTATTTTCTGCTTTTTTGGAGAAACCATGGTCTGTCTGTTTGCTATTTGCTCCTGGTTTTTTTAAGGCTTATGAAGTTTTTTTTCCCTTTGCATTTCAGGTTTCATTCCCCACGTAACTCCATTCGTCCACATTAAACCAACTTCTCAGTCACTGAAAGTTATGATTAAACATATTTTTAAAGGCTTATTTCCCAGTTGCACAGTGGTACTGACAGCTGTACAATCATATTTGAAACACTCGGTCCCACCCAACCCCACCAAAATAACGTTTCTGGCAATTTAAACCAACACTGTTGTTGTGGACACAACTGCAGTTGTGTGAGAAACAAGATTTAGGTTCAGAAACCTTAAATATGATCTTTAATGCACACACACAGATTTAAAGCTGTTACCTGATTAAAGCTCAGGGAAATGGAAGGACTGGTGGAGAATAAAGATGGAATTAAAAGTCAAGCCCAATGTCCTGTGCTGCTCACACTGGACCTTTCAATGAGTTTGAAGGCAGAGGAGACAATTTCAAAGGAGGAAGTCAAAGTCACATGGGAGCAGCAGTTTATGCTGCCCCAGGGAACTCACCTGTCATCTTTCTTTTGACCATAAATGACAGTTTTTTCACTAAATCTGGAAAGAATTCCTAGTGGTGCAGAGGACTGGGATTCAGGACCGGTTTTAGCACCCTGAAGCATCCCCGAATTTCACTGCAACCAGCTCTCTCATGGATTTTCAGCCCTGCTGAGCATCCTGCAGGGGCTCAAAGGGAGTGAGTGTCTAAAGAGGGACATTTAAGCAGGTGTGAGCACACACTCATGCACAGAGCTGCACACGCCCTCAGCAGGGAGTGAGATTTGACAGGAAGGGTTTGGAAAATGGCATTTCTGTTTGGGGGAATGGTGATCTGCAAGGGAAAGATCTGCTCAGGCAGCCAAATGCCTTTAGAAATCAGGCATGGTGTGAGGCTGATTTTTTTTTCCCCCAGTTGTTAATTTAACCTTATTTCTGTTTGTAGAACAAATAAATAATTTCTGAACAAACAAATCAGGGACCTGGAACCTGACGGGTGTAGTGCATCAGCTCAGGGACTTGTGGTTAAGAAGTCCAATAGATTTTGATAACAACTGGAAATTGTTCAGTGGACTAGTGCCTAAAGCCAGTTTGGCTTCCATTAATGACAAGCCTGAGCTGCAGTGTTGTGGGGCCAAATTTCTCCCCCTGAAGATGATTGTTGCTTGCGTTGGGCTTGTGGCAGTGTCAGCCCAATCCCTTCTGAGTTCAGAGACATCCTAACCCAGAAAACTGTGCAGAAAAGGGACTGCCTTTGCTTTTTTTCCAGATTTTTGGCTGCATTCCTCTCTGCCAATGTCTGTAATCCTTCCCCTTGCTTTACTAATCCATTAAACATGTTCATCCTGGGAATAAGGGGCAAATATAACTAATTGCCTGAATCCTGCACAGAGGCATATCCTGTCTAGGCATTTGGAGTCCAAAGGCTTCTGTGGATCTTGTCCCACTTCATCTCCTGCAGGAGCTGACTCCTGTGGAAAGTTCACGAGATGACAGAGATGTTTCACTTGCATGCCTGAGGAAAAATAACTGTTCTGCTAACCAAGATATACATTTATTTCTCCAGAGCTCTTTTCTTTAGTAGAAGATGGCCCCATATAGAAGATCAGATGAAAGTGTTTGGATTCTCCTTAGGCTGTGTTTTGGCCATCAAGGAGAAAGACCCCAGTGCAAATCATAACTGGTTACCCCAAGGGGCTGTGCCCTGTGCATCCCTCATGAGCACAAGACACAGAAATTATTTATTTGACACATCCAGTCAGTTTGGAACTCTCCATTGACTTGGCCAGGCTTTCAACCAGGCACTATACAATTCATGAGAGTTATTAGCAAAGCTGTAACTAAAGAGGTCTCCATGGAGATTGACAGCATCACCTCCCAGCTGGTACATTCTCTGCCTCCTATTCTAAATTTGTTCTCACTGTTTCCCTGGCTCTAATCCATAAGGTTAGTGAAACATTTGTGACACATTACAGCAGTGGAAAGAGGGATAAAGGTGGCTGGGAGGGGGCTGAGAAAGAAAGAACCTGGTTGGTGCCTCAAGGAAAGCAGCAGAAAGTGATCAGACATATATAGCCAGAGTTTTGAGAATGGGATTAGGCAGAACAGCACCTCTGCCTGCCTGTCACTTGCAAATTCTTGCTAATACTTTAGGAG